TACCAAGCAAATAATCAAATTTCACCAACCAAAAGGTTTGTTAAGCTTATTTATATCATAGCCATAGTTTTCCTTCCACAACCTCCATAAGAAACTGATTTTCAAACATTGAAACAAATTAAAAACCAGAAATTGAAGAAAAGCAATTCTTATCAATTTAGGAAGACGAAATCTGAAAGGTAGGTCAAAACAAATTGAGTAATATGCAGCAGAATTGGCGATAAAGGTATTCCCAATTTTCTGGAAAATGGGATAGAATTACAATGGAATTGTGAATAGGAAATATTACAGGAATGGCAAATTATAGATTTTCAGAATTTGAATTTGGTACCTTATTAGAATTTCTCCTTTCATGGGATATAGTATGCAAGCGAAAAAGAAAAGGACGACTTGGGATCACTGATTGTGTGTTATGGATGAAGCTGCAGCAGGAAAGTATGTCTGGAATATAGCCAACAAAGTTGATAACCTATGAGTAAAATGAATGAACAATGTGTATAAAAGGGGCTGACTGATGGGAATATACACCTAAATAAAACAATTGCTGGTACTAGAAGAAGATTTGAGGTATGAAGAACAGATGTAGTGTTGGAAACTGTGGAAATGGATGATTCAAGGCATGAGGAAAATACACAATTATAAAATAACAATTATTTTGGACTATCTATTTTTAGTAATTCGACAAGTAAAGTGGTTCGGAGGGAGTATCTTTTCTTAAATGTCAGCATAGTATTTAATTTATGAATGTGCTACAGGCAATGTGGGAAACCATTCAAGCCAGAGAAACTTCATGCCCACATGAAGTCCTGCAAAGGGATGAAAGCTCTGTGAAAGGGTGCTCATTCTGTTGCTGCTACTAACAAGACATCCAAGGATGCACCTAAATTTTTTTTATAATTATTCTTATTCAGCTTCTATTGGAATTAGATTATGTTTTTTTTAGAACTTTTGGAGAAACCTTCCATGTATATTTTTCAGTAAGAAGGTTCAGAGACAAAAGCCTAAGCAATTCATGAATTCACAAGTAGTAAAAATCCTGATTTCCATCTTAATCTCAAGTATTACATCCTGCGAATCTGAGTTAGTTGAGGCAGTGTACAACATGGATACAAGATTAAACAGGCAAAAATAACAAGACAGGCAAACTTTTGATGATGAAAATATCTGATGTAAGTTTCTTCTTTCGCCAGTTTAATGAAGATAAATTATTCTTTACATTTGGATACTGAAGCAGTATTTCATGTCTACTTCTCTCTAAATATCTTAGAGCCTAATCAATTGTTAATGACCATATTCAGGTCATTGCAACATACCTAATCTAATAGCATTCGTAACGAACAATCAAATTTCCAGGCGGTTAGTAGTCAATAGCTAAGATCATAGCTGATTACTTGCCTCCAAAAATCGAGGAGTCAACATGATCGAGCAAAAACCTATATAACTTGTATACAAGCCTTTGATAACACACACTCGAAGAAGGCTGTTAGTAGGTACAATTGGAGGCTAGGAACTGGACCACAACTGACATGGGGGAGACCAATCTAAAATACTTGCAACATCCCAAAACACGACTTCATCTACTGGCTGGCTATACATGGAAGACTACTAACTAGAGAGAGGCTATACAAGATAGGACTAACAAAAGACAGAACTTGAACACTATGTGGGAATGCCAACATCACACATCACTTCTTCGAGTGTGTGATATCAAAGGCTTGTATACAAGAAATAACGCACCGATTGAAGTTCACATGTGGGAGCATAGACATCAAGGAAGCTGAAAATTAATAGCACGAAGAGCGCAAGGCAAAGTTAGCAGGCAATTGATATTGGCAATCCTGACAGCTGCAATATCACACATATCGGAAGCTAGGAATGAAGCATTATGGAAACATAACACCTTACTGAAGCATTTCAGTAAGCATAACACATTACTGATTCTTTCTAATGCCCGGACAATCACCTGCCAAATTCTACAACTGTGTTTCTTGAACTTCTTTAACATCTCTCCCTAACACATTCCTCGCCTCGTGCAACGTGGATCTATACTGATCGTCATCATGCCTTAAATCCACCTCTTTTTTTCCTAAGTTATGTTATTGTAAATCATACCAGCTAAAGTAAGCTTAAGAGTTATATGAGTCTTACCTTTTACTAAATAAATAGGAAAATACACAACACCTTCTGTCTAGCAAGTATGAAAGTTGGAATAGATTTTAGGAATAAGAGGAAGCAGAAAAGAGAAAAAAAAAAAGGACAAAAAGTTGAAAGTTGGTTGAACTTCTGAGCACAATGAACTTTTGCCTCATCAGAATGGTATTTCATTCAATTCAAATTATGTGTCTTACTTTTCTTTTTGATTGTTTCAAAAGGAGCTTTATTGAAAAGAAACTATGTTGCTTCTATGTGGTACTGGAATTCCTTAATACTACAAATCTTTGATATCAAGAATTAAGAAAATTTAGACCAAACCATCACTAAATGACTAAATACATCAAAAGCAAGGAGTAAGACACTGAGAAGGATAATAATTGTAGTTTTACAAGTTTATATCCTACTCCCTTGGTCTTAAAATCTATAAATTTTGTGATAAGAAGGAATTTTCTCTTTATCTATACTTAGGTATTGGCAATGATTCCTCTCTATAAGGTAGTATAGCATTTTCTACACTCTATCCAATAAGCTTAGGAAGCAGCTAAAGTGTAAAGTATAGGCCATGTTTCATACTAACTTTTTTATGAGGTAAGGTATTAACTAATATATCATGGTATAAATAAAACATAATAGGTATAAACTATCACTTGTTAAACATGGACTTTAAGTTGGAGAAATAAAAATAAAAATATAACTTAAGTTGAAATTTTGATGGATCTCAATCTTTGTTGCATCATAAAGAAAAATATGCAAAGTTAGATACTAAATCTTAAGTTGACATTTTGATGGATCTCAATCTTTGCTGCATCATAAAGAAAAATATGCAAAGTTAGATACTAAATGCTACATATTTATATATTTAATACAAACAAATTAAAAAATACTTATCATATAAGTTTGAGTTACTTCTAACCTTGGTGGCGAAGAGCGAGAAAGAAGTTGCATTTTTCTAAACATTTCCTCTTGGCGTAGTATTCAATTGAGAATTTAATGATTGTATTTGAGATTCTAAACATTTCCTCTTGGCGTGCCACTATAATATTCAATTGAGAATTTAATGATTGTATTTGAGATTGTTGGTCTTATATTTGAGATTGCTGGTCTTCTATTTGAGACTAGTGATTATCTACGACAATTTCAACTGCATTTAATCGATTCTGTAATTCAAGTTGGGCACTAACAACTTCATGTTTCACCTTTTTGAGGGAGTCTTCTAACTCTGTCGTTCTCCTTGCCTTTTTGAGGGAGTCTTCTAACTGTTCTCCTTTGTGTAGATCTTGTAGTATTAGGTTTTGGACCATAACCAAGTCCTTTTATGTACCCCGACTTTGTACCAAGTATAGTATCCACAATTTCATCAATAGTAATGGAAGACTCTCCCTATGTATATAGATCTTTCAAATCTGTCATGTTGTTCTACATAAACATATTAAAATTATTTAAAGGAGAATGCACAACTTTTGAATAACATTAATTTGACAAATCCAATGAGAATGTTATAAAAGATGAAAAGTAATTTCTTACATAGTGAGTCTCAGCCTCTAAAGATGACCATCCTTTCTCACTCGTGTAATGAGTATGCTTATAGAACTCGATTTTGTCAGGCTCTACTCCTTCCGGGTTAGTTTTACCCTGTGAAATAAGAAACAATTGAAATAATACTAAAGTTTCATTAGTCAAAACAATAAAAATGGTATAATTTACAAGTTCAGGCGGGCCTTTCAGCACGAGCCGCTACAAACGCTTTTGACCCCATGAAATGATTACACTTAAGCTTAGTTTGATTGGCCTTGTTTATGTCGCATCGTTTCTACAAATAAAATACAAAATACTGTAACTTAAATAACAACGAGAATAAAATCAATATAAATTACCTTATGCTCTGGATTGATCCACATGTCACAAAGCCTATTCCAATTTTCTCGGGTCAACTCTGGCACTTCGATCTTACGAGCTTCTTCTTCAGAGCGTGCATTTTCAAATAGTTGTTTTAACTTGTAGCGCCATTGTCGGCTTCTGTTTTTCAGAATATCCTCACAACTATCTTTCACGTAATGCTCATCCAAATTAATCTCAAACCTCTCCTAAAATTCAAATAAGTATTATAGAAAAATACAGAACGAGCAAAATCCCTTTAATATTAAATATTAATCATTACATTTGCAAACATACTAATTAACTTCAAACTTAAGTACCCTTTGTGAATCATATATTGCAGTTCAAAAACTTTATTTATTCTCGTAAACAGTGTTCTTGATAGCCGAGCTACATACATAATATCACTCTTTTCTATTTCCAGTAAGGTAATGTCACGAATTGATAAGTTAAGGATAGACTTTTTATGACAAGGAAATAAAAAAAATCATGTATTTCATCTTCTCAAGATCATTAATCCAAATACCTTGAAGGCTTAGGTATTAGGAACCTGGCAGGACATAATAGAATCTGCTAATGAAATGGCTATGGAGGTTCAATAATTAAGATGGTGCTTTCTGAAAAGAAATGCTTTTTTGTAAAAAAATGAAATACTATCACACTTGTCCACTGTTGTATCATAGCTCCATATGTTTTTTGTACATGGAAGAGCATGGCAAAACTAAGGAATTAATTTAATCAGCAATGCAACTGCAAACCAGGTAATGACATTCACTTTAAATATTGGGAGGATAAATGATCAAAGAACACTACTCTCCTAAGTGACTTCCCTACTCTATTCTCAATAGTCTCTGATCCAACCTCTATTATCTCCTAGAACAGAGAAAATAAATATATGGATGCAATTGTCCAGAACAAATTTTCATTATTGAAAGTTGCTACTATTACTATCAAAACTAGAATGTTGCCCTCAAAATAATCACAGGCCAAATAAAATCAAATGGTGTAGAAAGACAGATGGACAATACACGGTGATGAAAGCAAGGAATCTTCATTATGTGCTCAAAATGATATAATAGATAACTGCCTTGAAAACTCATTGGGAAGACCAAAACCCCTAGTTCAAAAGGTGCTTTAATGGAATATCAACTACAATCTATAGCTTAAGATCAATTATGTTTTAACTTTATATTGTTAGACTATGGTTAGATCCGTTAGACTCTAATGTCAATCTTTTGGACTTTGTAAACTCTTTAGTCCTAGCATAGGATACTTTTAAATGAGCTTACAATCTCACTACTTGTGTATCTATATTACTTGAATCTTTTTTATGCCATTTATCCCATTTCTTACTTTATCAAGAAAATGTAGTTCATTTCTGTGTACTCTTGAGCCATATGAAATAAGATTTTACACTAATAAAGAGTGTCGAAGCAAGCATTAAAATGGTCTAAGGAGTTGGAGTAGGCACGAACAAATGCTTAAGGCAAAACCTCTACAGTTGCAAACTATAGAAGTATTGATCCTCCAGTTGTTATCTTCTTTAGATGACCCCTTAGAAAAATTTTAGGAAGGAAGCTTGAATGATTGTATACAACTAGTTGTTTTTTTCCATATCAAGTAGTGGATATGATGCATAGATAGTTTATTTTCTAGTTTGTTAGTTATTCGTAGTAAAATTCTTGTTAATTTTTTTTTATAAAAACAGGAAATAAGACAAAAGAGACCATTAGTTAACTTACTATTAGATATCGATGGAGATACATATCGCCAAGTAGTTTTCCAAAAAAATAAGATGAATGAAAAATAGCGGTACCCAAAAAAGAACTCAATATAATCACTACCATGAATAAATTTACAAGAGTATAGAATCCTTACATGGCATCTAATTAGTGCTGCATCTTTGTCCTCTCGTGTGAGTTCTTTTCCACTTGTTTGGAAGCAAAAGAAAATTCCGAGCAATTATCCCTAGCTCATTGGATAGTTTTTTCGATTGATCTAGTTTAGTTGCCCTTCCTTTACCAACTGGGATCTCTATTTTCATCTTTCTTCCTTGAGCCTTCTTCATTTTTTCAAGACCTTTCCCTCTAGTCTTGCCATGACCGTTCCTGATTCTAGTGGAATCATCTGATGAAAAAAAGTCAGTTCAAAATACAACCTATAATCTTAAAAACTTACACGTATGACAGTAAGGCACATGATGAAAACTAACACAACTGCATTTTTTTAATTTATTGTATATTAATGAGCAACTGAGTCAAAAAATTCACCGATAAAACAAAGAGAACATACGAGAGCTAACAACATCTATTTTGATCATTTCTATCATGTTTGCTGATTATATGTTCGCCCATATTACATAAATGTTGTTGGATTTCAAAGATGTAGATTACAACAACTATATATTCAGAAAAAGGTTCAAATTGTGCATATATTGATAGAGTAGGTAACTTTACATACCTAATTTTTATGCCATGATGAGCAAAGAAGAGTTAGCCAAACATAAACAAACTCTAAATAGTATAAGGTATCATGAATAAATGCTTACATGTAATCTATGCCAGCATTTTCAACTTCTTAGAGTCAATTTGTGTAGCTTTTATAGCATATTGATAAAGCAAAAACAATTGCAATTGCTCATACAAACAACCAATGACTTTCATGTTATGAAAAATGCACCTAAGATTATGGATGATGTGATGAAACACTTCTTTTAAAATGTTAAAATATCATAGATAACTTCAAGATTTAAATCCACAAATCTTGAGTTGATGATTGAATTACAAAAATAACAGCCAAGATCATCATAAGAATCATTCGAGTAACTCGGAAGTACATGTAAAAGAGGAGATTAAATTAAAGAAGATAATAGAAAAGACAAATTAAACCTGCATACAATAGCTCAATATCAGATACTCAGATATTGAGCTATCGTTCATATTTCTCGTAACAAGTTTAACATAAATAAAAATTTCAATGGTTAATGTTTTCGGTTCCAACTTAGTCAATAACTAAATAAAGTAATCCTAATCACTATAATTAAATGTATTACTTGTATTCACAGCAAGAGTATCATTATTTGATTCATCTAGTGATTGAGTATCTTGAATTGTTTCCCCTGTAACTGTAGTTTGCTTGAAAACACATCCACCCGGTGCCATCAATTTGCAGAATTCTATCAAAACAGAAAATGTAAGTTTAGAATGTTAATAACATATAAAATCCAATGGTTTAACAAAAATAGTTATGTAAAGGCACCAATCATTGACAACTAAAGGAAAATAAAAAAAGAACATAATCATTAGTTCAGAAAATCTTGCACACGCCATTTATTAATATATAAGAGTTTACTGTCTATCGAACTATTGAAGAATCTCTAGAAGATCAAATGACTAGTATAACATATCAAAGATATATTTATGCCGGAACTATGTCCAAATTTGAAGACACAATAACTTTTTCGAAAGCTTATATAAGAGAAGGTCTTAAGAAAACGTTGTAGATCTAAAAAAGGCCGAGCCTCGTGAAGAAATGCCTATTGTTTTTAGCAAAAAGATTAATTGTCCTACAGAATATTCATCTCAAATGATGTTGGTTCAGTTCATCCGAATTCAAAGTTCCATCAACCTATCCTAACTCAAGTTCAAGAAGCATAATTTGACAGGCTTGAGTACCATGTTTCACAATCCATCCTATCCTCCTTTGAAATCTGAGGGAGAACATCAATATATGAACAAACCAGAGGAAAAGTTGTTCCAAAAGAAGTCTTGAATAGTGTATACTTCACTAGTATGTTTCACACACAAACTGTAAATATGCACACCACACGAAACTGTAATCTACATAATAGTTTAGAGTGTTTGTTTTCCAAAAACTTATAATTAACTATATGAAACAAACATAGAGCAAGATCAATGGTTGTTTCACAATAATCAATGAATAATCATTCAATATATGATTGCCACATATAACTATCTGTCTAATTTTGTTCAAACGTAAAATAAGACTGATACATACCTGGTCTTGTTCAGGTTCAGAAACTTTGCTTCACATTGTAATTGAAACTTTTCCGTCTGTTTTCTCATATATATGGTGGTTATCCTGAAATTCTTTTGGAGCCAAAAAAAACAAAAAAATAAGCCCCAAAAGTTAATTTTTTTTTTCCATTTCTCTGCTTTCTATAACTTTATTTGGTGGGTGAACATGAAGAAGTGAAAGAAGTAGTGGAGCTTATTAACCCAGAAACTTAGGAAGTGAAGAAGTGTGTGGTCAACTTTTTTTTAGGATTTAACATTTATCTTTTCCTCCACATAATATTTTAAAAATAAAATTACACACAAAAGGACATAATGTTGATCAATACTTTAGAAAAAAATAAAATGCACACACAAAAAGGCATAAATGTCCAACAATTTTATTTATCAATATAAATTTTGAAGGTAAATTCTTTATGCTTAGAACTAAAAAGGAAATCAGGAAATGGCTTCACTTGAATGGAAAAAGTAAATAGAAAACTTAGAATAATAACATAGGTAACAAAGGGAAAAACTACTGCATCCATATCGAAGATCTCAAAAAAAAATATAAAATCAATGTCGATTGGACTAACAATTGTACCTCTTTTAGCTGAAACCCAAAACCCTAGGCCTTGTACTTCTGGTTGATAATCCTAAAAAACTTGAATCACTAGAGAACCCACTTCGGAAATCAGGGATCTGACTAAGAGCAACACAATCGAGCATTTTTTTTGTCTTCAGTCAGCTGCGATTTTGTTGCTAAATAAACAAACCATAGCAAGAGAGATAGTGAAGACATCGATGATGATTTTGAGCTAACATGCACAACTCCAAACCTCTGAAATCGAATTTGTAGTAGCTCTACATCAGAGATAACGAACTCTTCGAATGGATCAACTTGTGTACTTCAAAAATAAAGAATAGTTGTGCTAGTAAAATTAGGGGAGAAGAATTGAGATGAAGAGGTTCGGAAGAAAACAATTAGGGGAGAAGAAAGGAGATGAAGTGGCTGGGTAGAGAAGATATGGAGCGGAAGAGTTTCCATAACTTTCGTAATTTCCTAATTAATTCTCATCTAATAAAATATCACTTCTCTTTGAATTTTGGGCCTATATTGGGCAATGTTGTTGTTTTGTTTTCTTGAGATTGGTACGACACACATTTATATATATATATATATATATATAACAACATACAAAGAAAAGCTAAAAGAATAATTTCTAGGTTGTTTAAATTATGCAGGAGAATTTATTCCGGATTTAGCTAACTTAAAAGTATATATAATATATACCTGGAGAATGATTTTATTATATATTTTTTCCATTTTAATTTGTTTATTTTGTTTTAATTTTACATAAAGTTATAAAAAAGTACAGAAGACTTATGAATCTTATCGTCTTAAATTCAAAATATGTCAAATGTAACAAAATTGTCTTTAATTTTTTGGTTTAAAAAATTCCATTTGGAAAGTCAAAATTAAAGAATTATTAACAAAATATTTTATGTATATATATTTTGAACACCCGTGACACATTAGTGAAATATGACCTAACGGTAAAGCGAATTCAAGGAGGATAATGTTTTGTGGTTTCGAGTCCCATATTTTGCTAACAAGCAAGGGATGCTCCATTAAACATTTTTACTTTTTTTTTTCTAATTTAAGATTTTCTTAATAAATACTGATAAATATATTTAAGTAAAAATAAATTACATAATTTAATATTCTTTTCTTAAAAAAGGCACAAGAGCGTAGCAAGCACAAACAAAGGAAATGCACATGTGTCTCCTTGAAGAACGATAGCACGCTTCTTTCTCATATCGATCAAGGCTTTACTTGAATTTGAAATAAGGGGAAAGAATTAAGGGTGTAGCACCTGCGTGAAAGCCGTTGCACCTTAGCGCATCCCTTTTCTTGCAGGAGTGTTAACGACAACCTTACGTGTATTCTATGTTTAGTTACATTACCAACTGTCAATTTTTGTTCAACTTTCAAAGGCTCGAATAGATTGATTTGAGAACTTGTTTCAGGGTTGCCACGTCAGAGAACTTTCATAATCTCTTCTGCTCTCGGATCTAATTCTCTGCTTAGTGACTCAATCTCTCTTTCTTTTGAAGGTGCAAGCGATAACTATTTGAAGGCCTCACACCGACACTAGTTGAACCTTACCTTGAAAATAAGGTGGTAGGCCGACGTTGAACTCTTCAACTTGGCCACTGAAGAAGGGGAAGACTGGGTATGTATGAAAACTAATGTTTGTGGTTTGAGTTCATTTATACAAGAGGAAATCCTGAACGATCCTTTGCGGGATTGAATTTTTTTATAGTGAAACATCCATAAACCACGACCCAAGATCCACGATATGAAAACCAAAAATAAGAATAACAATGCTTAAATAAATCTTTCTGTTTAAAAAATACCAACTCACAAAAAAATACTTTTTAGTTTAGTATATAGTAAATTGAATTAATTAAATTTAAATTTCATGTGACACAAAAGGATCTAAAAGACCCAAACAAATTAAAATAAAAAAATCTGAGGTAATTTATAAAAAAAATTCTAATTAAAACTTTGTCAAATTGAACTACAAATACCTCAATTTTTTTGTATCAATATAATGAATCAATCAATTAATTAAGTTTAATATAGTTAGCTTTTTTCTCATAAAATGCAAGCTGAAATAATCGATAATAACAATTAAATTTTTATTTAAACTTTAAATCATATATTTTTAAATTATTTAGATCTTCCTATTAAAAGAGAAAAAGGGTTTTGATTTACCTTAATTAAAGAGTAGTGGTTATAGCCTTGGTCCATTCAGAAATTAAAGAAAATCAGCTTCTATTGTTTTGCTCTTCTACAGCGCAGCTGCACTTTTGCTCTTCATCTTCTCACATAGTCGATCAGAGCTCATTGGTAAGTCTCCTCTTTTACTTCAATCTTGTTCTCTCCTCATACTTCCATGGCCATTTTCTTCTCTGCTCAATTCTTTGCATCAAAATACTATATTCTTATTTATGAATAGATTTGTCATAAGTATGAATTGAAGTTTCATTTATATGTGGATTCATTGGTTGCCTTTGTGTTCCTGCACTAATTACTGAATGGGGTTTCTCTATTGATTCGAGGCGACTCAGTAGCTGTTAAGAGTTCTATCTTTTGGATTAACCTTTGGGTTTAAACAATGCATCTAAAGGAAGTAATAAATTAGGCCTTGTCGTACCAAGTTCATAAAAGACATAGTAGTAAGAAGTAGAGAACCAGGAAAAATATGAATAATTTGTTAACATATGACTTTTCATTCTGTTATCGTATACACATAGACGAAGTTGTACTTTAGATAAAAATGGTAGGTAGTATAAAATAGGAGTCGAAATTCAGTGTGTCTATGATTGCTTTTACTCCGAATGACTCTGTGATCGTTAAGGTGGGAGAACGACAAGGATAAACAAATGGTCATTGCTTTTAAAGTGTAAGTTGTTGCTAAGGTGTTAATCACAAGAATTGTAACAATTGAAGGAATATATAAATGAATCATAGATTTTGTAATAATTGCCGGCAATTATGTGCAACACACATTCAATAACAAGTAACATAAGTAAGCAGGAAAGAAGTAAATTCCTATCTAGATGTTAATTTACAATGTCAATTGAGTTGGTGCATTATTTCCCCTGTAAACAGATTGGATAAGTTTCTGGAATTGTTAGCTCCCTGTGTTTAACTCAGTAGAATATTCGAGGAATTCATTTAGCTGTTTCACAAGTTTAAGCCTAAGTTTGCTTCTTGTAACCTACATCTTCTTGATGCCTTTGTAGTATGATATTTTTACTTCACATAAAACAAATAGATTTGGTGGACTCTTGACTATCTTTGGTTTAGTTACCATATTTTTTGTTATTGGCTTATTGCTACCTGTTTTTTTCATTATTTTTACAGTGGCATCATCACTGCTGCAATTCCTTTTCACGCTTGATTTTTATATGCTTTATTTGAGATGAAAGTCTATCGCACTTAGCCTCTCTACCTTTGTAGGGGTAAGGTTGCAATATGCGCCACCCTCCCTAAACCATACTTGTGAGATTACTTATATTTTTGACATTTCTTCTATCGAAGGAGCCCCATTTTTGCCTGTTGGTTTAAACATGTAAATCTTCTCTAGCAATTAGGCATGGATATTGGGGTAGGGCGTGGTAGAACACTTCCTTAACAGGGAAGGAGAACAACTAAATGGGGTGGGGCATGATGAATCTTATTTACTTAAATTACATAATAGAGTGGGAGGGGGGGAGGGTAATGGGCCAATCGTATTGCAGTTTACTCTTTACTTGTTGGAATACAAAAGAGCAGATTTGTTTTGCACATACTTGAAATTTCTCACATCATTTCTTGAATTTGATAACCAAAAGTGCACCGTTTAAAATTTTTGCAGCACTTGGTGTGGTAAGGCCTAAAGATCAAGTGCTGGAGACAACCTGTCAAATATTATAGATAGCAATATGGTTATCAAAAACAAATCACACCATTTTAGTACATTTATAAGTGGAATATTATATGCTCGAACTGTATGTCCTAATCTAGCTTAACATTAGAATTAGAATAGACTTACAGAGTTGACCACAATAAGCTTGGTCCAGTGGTATCACAATGTTTTTCTCTTATAGGTATGGGTTTAAGTTATTTTTTTGATGAAAAGTATGGGTTGAAGTTATATATTATATTATTTACTTTCAATACACAAATAGCACAAACTTCTTCCTGTAAACAAGCAATTCTTGTGGACTTGTGACTATCTTTACTTTAGTTACCATATTATTTGTTATTGGCTTACTGCTACCTGATCCTCTTTTTCAATATTTTTAGAGTGGGGTCATCACTATTGCATTTCCTTTTCACACTTGATTTTGATATGCTTTACTAGAGACGAGAGTCTATCTGACTTAGCCTCTCTACCTTTTTAGGGGTAAGGCTACATATGCACCACCCTCCCTAAACCACCCTTGTGAGATTACTTATATTATTAACATTTCTTCTATCGAAGGAGCCCCATTTCTGCTTGTTGGTTTAAACACGTAAATCTTCTCTAGCAGTTAGGTATGTCAATTGGGGTAGGGTGGGGTAGAACACACCCTTAACAGGAGAGGAGAACAACTAAATGGGGTGGGGCATGATCAATGTTATTTATTTAATATACATAATAGAGCAGGGGTACTAGGCCAATTGTAATGCGGTTTATTGTTTACTTGTTGGAATACAAAAGAGCAGAGTTAATTTGCAGATACTTGAAATTTGTCACCTTATTTATGGAATTTGACGACTAATAAGTGCACCGTTTAAAAAACTTTACAGTGATTGGTGTGGTAAGGCCTAAAGCTCAACTATTAGGGGCAACCTGTCAAAAATTATAGACAACAATATGGTTATCAAAAACAAATCACACCATTTTAGTACATTGAGTAAGTTGTTGTTTGGAGTCCCTAGAAGCTACTTTTCGCTAGTATTCCATCATTGATGGAATATTTATTTTATTTGAAAGAATCATGCATGTGCTTCTAACAATATTTATTTGATAATTGCTATGTTTGTACAGTTGATCATGGATAAAGGCTGGATGCATGAACCAAACTTCTCTAAAAGATATGTTGTGGGTGTTCAATCTTTTATGCAACTTGTTCGGTCTCACTTTGATCGAAATTCTAAAGTTCGATGCCCATGTCAAGATTGTTTAAATATTTATTTGTCAAACACAAGAAGTAGTGTATGACCACCTATTGATCCAAGGAATTATGGGAAGTTACGTGCAATGGATCTACCACGTGGAACAATCACTAATGAGAGATGATAATGAAGTGATTTACAGTGAGGATGAAAATGAAGAACATGACTATGATGATGGAATTCACACGATGTTTGAAGAGGCCAGTGGAAGATCGTTTGCTGATTTTTCGGAGGAGACAACTGGTAATAGTATCTCTAATAATATGAGTGACAAAGAAGCTAAAAAGTTTGACAAATTGTTGAAAGAAGCTGAATGTGAATTATACCCAGGATGTAAGAAATTCTAAAA